CCTTTTCCCATTTTATTCTCTTCTCCATTCCCTAGGGATAGGGGAGGATGAACGAGCAGCTGTGTGGCATTTAGTTGCTGGTTGGCCCAAAGCACGACACTTGGTAATGTAAGTCCTGCCCCAGCACCAGCTCTGGGTTGCTACATTTCAGTAAAAATACCTCGGTGAATGATTAAAAAACCCTGTATCCTCAAGTGCATATTGGGTGTTGGGGAAATCCCTGTCTGTATTTCCATGTGACTGTATTCCCGTGACTACAAAGGTGTACAACAGCCCTTTTAAACAGGTTTTTGTTCTTTAAGCCTCTATACAGAGGGCTTGAACATCTCTAAATCATGCCAGGCTTGGCCTAAAGTATGTTTAGCTTCTTTTTTTTTTTTTTTTCCCAGCTTTAGCAACATTTATTCATCATTTCTGAATGCAGAAATACTGAAGCTCTTTTCACTTTGAAGTCCACAAATCAGAACATGGATTCCCTAAAAGCTTTTGGGCAAGACTTTTTAAAATGTCACAGCTTCTTTGCACAGGATCTACAGCTCGCCAAGTCCAGAACTTGGATTACATCTGGAGTGAAATTCTCACTGCAGTTTACAGCTGACTTTGATTTAGAGGTTAGGAAAAAATCAAGAAGGATGCATGATAGAAAAATGACTTGCAGTCATCTGTTCAGTGGGCATGTGCTTAATCATGGCATAGCTGAATGAGGCCCTATTCTGTTTTAGCAGCAACACGTTTTTCTCAATTGGCCTGACCTTAGAATTTGAAAGGGAACTAGAACACTTTTTCTGCTTCTGTTTTGTGGTTATTTGTGCAGCTTAATGACTACATGAGAGATGCAGCGAGCATCTTCCAGTAAACAATGTGCTCCTTCATTTCCTACTTGCCACAATGGCAGCAAAGACGATGTTGCACCACGGGGAGAGCTCACCAGCACCACACCAGCAGTGCAGTGTCTCTCTTGAGGTTCCCTAGAAATGATAAACCAGAGGATGTGTGAGAATAACAGAAAATCCAGTCATTGATTTATACCTCATAGGCTGCTAACTGATGTGACAAGCATGCTGTTAATAATTTACAGTAGCATCTCATACTGTCATTCATACATATTTGAAAATCACAGTCTTAACAAGCTGGAACTTCCCTCTAGCAATGTACCACCAACTGTTGAGGAGAAAATCCTTTGGAGTTTCTTTTGTAATATGTAAGGTAGAAAAGCCCAGATAATGAGGATATATTATAGATCAGTTTCCACTGCAAGAATTTACATTAAAAACACTTCACAATACATCATGCAGTGGCTTTGATCTTGAAGCTAAGTAGAACCTCTTCCTTTTTGGCTTTTGCCAGACAAAAAAATTAACATGTGACTTCAACATTAATTTGGTTCTCAGTTGGGACTTTGAAACTGTGCTGCTTCTTCTGCGAAATTGTCAGGGTTCAAGCTTGTTGGTGTGCCTTACTAGTGCGGTCTGGGAAACTTGGGACACATTCTAAAAAAAAAAAAAAAATTATTTAGGAACATAAAAGGAGCTAAGCAAGGGCACGAATCCAGCACAATGATGGAAGCAATGGAATGGCCTCACATTACAAGCAATTATGCTATGACCAGGTACACTTTTGACATATGCTCCCTACAAGTATTTCTAGGGCATACCTCACACCTCACTAGGTGACAGGGAACTGCAGCAGAGCTGGGAGCTCCTGCAAGAAGCAGCCAGACCAGCTTTGGGTGCTCCTGTAAGTCATGAGGGGACCAGGCAGAGTTGATGCCCCTGAAGACATTCTCAGGCTGGCTACAGCAAGACCTTGTCTGCAGGCAGAAGGGCTGGGCAGGGTTGTGCACACACTTTTCTTTCTGCCTCCTGCTGCCACTGGCCACTTTGGGTTGTTTGTCTGTTTCCTTCCAGGTTTCAGTTACATCTTTCTTTTTTGGAGAACCCTTATTTTGCTATTGGCTTGCTTCAGGTGATGCTGTACCCTGTTCTTAGGTATTGCAATTTGCTTACATGCTATTTCAATCTTAGTTCCTAATTTTAGAGCATTTATTCCAATCTAGAATAATGTGGGTGCTACAGAGTTTAATCAAAATGCCATATGAGATATCAGCACAGTCTCTTCAGCCATTAAATTCTGGAATCTCTGAGTCAAGTATTAGCAGCTTTATTTCTGAGAAAGGTTAGTGTTCTCCTGAGTCCTGTGAGCTCCTTCTACTTTAATGTAGAGTCACCCAATTATGAAGCTAGTAGCAGATTAATACTAGTCTTCTACCAGCAAGTACAAAGCTATTAATAGCTCAGGAATCCCAGATCAGGAACAACACTGGGAACTAAATTTAGCTCAGCAGTCAAGGTCTGTCTGTTCAAAGCAAAGAGGTTTGATGTCACATTGACCCTCAACTCTACATCTCAGATAAAGCTGTTACACAACTGGAGCCTGATTTCAGGTCATGCTCCTGCATTGAAAGAAATACATACCCGCCTTGCACAGGAAAAACAATTCCCCAGCCCACGGTGCAGCTTGGCCCCTCTCCTAGCAGGTGACCTGGACAAGAGTTTCCTTTTAGCACTTAATGAAGCTGCTGACACCTTGCTTCCGAGTGTCCTGCCTGACCTCTGGGAAGGGCAAAGTTCCAGGGTCCATACTGGGAAACAGCCTCAACAGCAACCTTTCATATCTCTGGCATATGGTCTCTTCTCTCTGTGGTCTCTTTCAAGTGGCATAGTGGTGGGCAGGGGGTAAAGCAGGTAGAAATGTTGTCTCACCTGAGAGCTGGCTGGCCATTCTGCGCAAGGTAACAGCTGATGGCTTAAGTGGCGTTGAGCCTTTTTCCAAAAAAATCAGCCCATCTGCTGTGTATCTCTGTTCTGATTCCTTGAGCCTTCCCAGAGGGTTCTTAATAACAAAGTTCTGGGCATAACGCTCAAACGGGTCATCAAGAGATGTGACTTTTCCTTCCTCCCACATCTTGTACAACATTATGGTGGGAAAGATCTTGGAGACACTGGCAATTCTGTCAAGGAACAAACATTTATAGAAATTCAGCATTAAGAAACTCATGAATCAGAAGGAAAATGGTCAGTATGTGAGGTCACTCAACTGACCCACTGCCTGTAGCTTTACAGGCAACACCTTTGCTAATTCAGACAGGCACGGCTAAAATGCAGGTAAGAAGCTGTAATTAATATTCTGAACTCTGGCCTTTATGGACTGCAACATAACCCTCAGTAGTATCTCCTCAATAGTGCAGTGGGTTATAGAACTTTTTCTGTTCTCTTACCATTCATAAAATGACATATTTTGTGAATTATTCCTTAGTAAATACCATAACAACTTGTAAGTAGTTTATTGGAATTTTAAGGTTAAAATGCCATAAAGTTTTACATTTCGTATTCAGACTTGCTCTTTGGGTAGTTTCAGAACAGAGTCAAATTTACAACAGGTCTTCTGGAATAGGACTCTGGTTCTATTTTGTTGCTTTCTGGGAACAGGGCCATGATTAAAAGGGATGGGGGCATTCATACTGTGCGGCTAGAGGCGAAATTCTTGAACTGGAGTAAGGCGGCCTAGAGTGAAAGCATTTGCTGAGAATGCTTTCATTAATGAAGAATTAGAGCCAGAGGTTCAAACATGATCAGATACTGTCGTAGTTCTGATGATAAATGATGCCAACTGGCAATAAAGTTTTTTGAAGGAGTCTCTGTGGTGCAGTCGGTTAGTGTGTTCGGCTGTTAACCAAAAGGTTGGTGGCTTGAGCCCGTTCAGGGACAGGTTCCCTTTTCCCTGCCAATGGCAGCGGGGTTGGAACTAGAAGACCACTATAATCCCTTCTGACCCAAACCATTCTATGATTCTGTAAGAAATAGCATGAAGTCACCTATGCAGGGATTTTACCTGAATAAATTCTGAGGACAGCATTTGATAGTCAGAGTGCAACCCATATGCTTCGTATATAGCACAGTTATAAATCACTGAAAAATAGATCCCTAAAGTAAGTCAACACTTTTTTTGTATTTGTTTTTGTTTTTTAACACACACTGAGAGCTTGATTCTCTCTTAATCTAAAAAATAATGGTCAATATGATTTTGGATTGACTGGGAAAACAAATAAACATACAGGTCTACTTTAAAAGTTCAGTAGATACTCTTCCCAAACCCCACTTTTTGCTAGACTGTTTTGTTTTGTTTTTTTTGCCTATGGCATTGTCTCCTCACTGTTCACAAAATCTTTGCTAGCTCTCAGTCTTCATATTTGTGCCCTAGGCGTCCTCAAATCATGGAGACATTCCTGTGTAAGGAGCAGTATGTTTCCAGGTTCTTCAGGACGGTCACTGCTATTCTAATTCAAAATATTGTCAGATCAAAATAAAAAACCAGAAAATCCAAAGTAAACAGCTCAATAAGCCACAACCATATGATAATTTAGGGACTAGCTGAAGCACTGTCTCACAAAGTTTCAGTGTAACCCAGAAGAAGTTTCTGCAGTGGACCTGAACCAGTAGAAGATGCAGTGTGTGACAGTGACTCTATTCCCAAATATCAGATCTACGTATGTGTATCTGCTCTTTTTCTAGCTCTCATGCCTGAGATACATTTATCTCACCTGTAAATAGTGTACTCATTGGGCACCACTGAGGAGGGGTCCGAACCATTCTTCTTCCCAAAGTTGCCTGTCCAGAGCACAGTGTCATTGTAGATAACGATGGCAGACATGGCAGGGAGACCAGAGCTATGAATCTTTTGGCGCAGCATTATATCTACCTGAAGAATGATGGGAAATTATGAACTTCCAAATGAAGAGTCTTATAATGCATCTAGTCTGTAACAGGCAGTAGAACACCCAGACCATCAGCCCTCCTTACTTCCAAGCACTTGAGAGTGATTTTTTTCAAATGTGTTTCGGCAAAAGAAAATATTTTAACTGTACTGTTCCTTTGAATTGCTTATGTTGAATTATCCAGTGTCTTTCTTTCAGTCTACATGTCCACTCTGTAGAAGACTGTGGTGCTCATCCTTGTAATGCCTATGGTGTTTCTATGATTAAAAATGAATACTAAAACCGACTAATTGTCATATCTTCCTTTTTAAATTGTACTGTGCATATCTGTTCTTTGCACTAGTATTTTGGTTTCAAAGATGTATGAGAAAAAGATCCAGACTTTTCAAATATCACATGGCACTTTTCATGCCATGAAACATGCTAGAGTTTGGACTCTTGTTTAAACTGCAATCTGAGAAACAGCACTGAGCAACTAGAGGGCTGTGATTGCTCTTTGCTCCCTGTTGTGCTGGGGTCGTGTAGATCTAATCAGCCAGCTGTGCTGCACCCTCCTCCTGCAAGCAGAATGCATTGGTCTTGGTCTTTTACGACTTTTTCAAAGCTTTGTGATCATCATGCATAACTTATCTTTTGCACAGAAAAGTTAAGACATAAGAAATCTCTTTCCAAACCCAGGATTTGAGACGAGAAAGGCCAAGCCAAGTCATGTACTCAGGGTATCTTCACTGGGAGGACTGGTGAGGTGCACTGACAGCCAGCAGTGGAAACATCCAACTTGTGCCAAGTCCTTCTGTAGTGTTTTTTTGCCCTCTCCACCCATGTGCCAGTGGTTAGGTATGTCAGCACCTCCAGACAACAGACTAGTCTCATGTCAGCAAGCATGGTCCTCCTTGCAGTTTTCTCAGAGAGAATCTAGCATGTAGACTTGTCTGAACCTGCAGAAAGTTTGCAGAAATACGTGATGTTCTTCTGGACTCAAGAGTCATTGAATCCAATACTCAGTGTTTGGGTTTGGCCACTAGCAATACTCTTCTGAGGAAAATGTAGGCTTTTCTGATAAGCAAAAGTATTTATCCTTAGAAATGTTTCCTTAAGCCTCACACGTGAGTGAATGTCACTCTCTTGTTTCAAGCTGCCGTGAGGTAGGAAAAAGTCCTCCCATGTATGCAATATAATCACATCTGGTACTGTCCAGAGTCCCAGTTCCAGGGTCCCTGGCCTGGCACAGGATGGTAGTTTGTCTCAGGTGTGCAAGATCTTTAGTGTGGATTTGAGTGTCCACAGACTTAGGAAGAACCTAAGCGCATCTGAAGCTACACTTCTGAGGTGCTGCCACCTAAGCCTCCTTTAAATACCCATGACTTCCTATGCATCTAATGTTCAGGTTCTTTGTGCCTTATTCCATCTGCAAAATAGGAACAGTTGCACCAGCCTACTTCAAAGAAGTGCTTGGATATTTCATTTCTGAGGAGCACAAAGAAGGGAGGTTAGATGACTCTCTGATGGACACTCAATGTTCTGCATGTTCCCCCACCTCTCTGACTAATCCTAATCGAATAATAAAATACCTCTCTACAGTAAACCCAGAAACAGCAGCAGAGACTTCATAAAAGTGAACGTGAGGTGATAGTAATCGAAATTCAGTGTAGATAAAGTGATGTGCATGCAGGAAAACAACCTAACTTCACAACACATACACAGATGGGCAGTCATCTGGTCATTAGTGCTTGGGAACAAGATCGTGGTGCTATGATGGATACTCTTATGTAAATATTTGCTCTGTGTCCTGTGGCAGAATAAAAGGTGAATCAAATAGGAGAGATTATTAGAGAAGTAACATAAAATATAGCAGAAACCAACATTTTATCACTGCAAAAATCCCTGATCCACTTGCACCTTGAATACTGTGTACAGTACTGATTTCCCGCATGTCCACAAGAGTATGCTAGAGCTGGAAAAGATTCAAAGAAGGGAAAAAGAATGTGGGTCAGCTTCTATTATGAATCATTAAGCTACTCATGAGAAAGACACAAATGAGAGTGCATATTATAGAATCATAGAGTCATGGAATGGTTGGGGTTGGAAGGGACCTCAAAGATCATCTAGTTCCAACCCCCCTGCCATGGGCACGGACACCCTCCACTGCACCAGGTTGCTCAAAGCCTCATCCAACCTGGCCTTGAACACTTCCAGGGATGGGGCAGCCACAACTTCTCTGGGAAACCTATTATATGATAGGAGTCTACAAAATCAGGATTGCCCTGTCAGAGCATGGCTGTCTTTATGGTCTGTACAGTCAAGGCAATGCTGCAGTATTTCCTCATTGCAAATAGAGCCTACCAGAACTTCAGACAGTGCTAAAATTTCAGAGATAGTATATCATGCTGAGGAAAAGCAGGTCTCTCTTTCATTCAGATGCAGGTCCCCTTCCTCTTCCCCCTCCCCTCCATTCCCTTCCTTGAAGTTACCTACAAGTAGCTTTTTAACTTTTAAATAGTGGCATGGGGAAAGTTAACAAAGCAGTAAAATAAGGAATTGGCAGTAACTGATGAATAGGAACTAGTTACAGGAGTTACCTACTTTCCAGGACATGAGAGTTGCCTAATAGTAGACAAGATGCCAAGAGCCATCATTTTGTGCTGATGTATGCTCCAGACCTTCTGATGGACAAGTAATAATGTTCCTTCATCATAGCTTATCCTTTGGATAAGATAACTGATTACTGACCTGTTCTGTATGTTCAGTGAAGGAGTTTTATATACCCATTTCTAGATTCACATGTTCTCCACTTCCTCAATTTCCCACCTCCTTCCCCAGAGACCCTCAGGGGCAAAATACATATTCTCCCCTTTACTCCTTCAGAAAAGCAGTCATAAGCTCTGTCTTCCTCTGTTCCCTTCTCACCGACCTTCTCCAATGCATCCTTTAGAATGGGGATTGGGTGGTCCAGTGGTACTGGTTCAGGATAACGGGGGCACATCTGCAAAGCTTCTGATCTCGCTTCCATTATAGATGGGCCTGGAAAACATTTCAAAGATAGCATATATGACTTGAATAGACACACTGACAAGCTTTAACCTCATCCAGCACTCAGCACTAGCTTTCTTGCTTGTGTTGACCAAAGCTGAAGAGCACTTCTGCATAAACAAAGAGACAATCTTAAATTGTTTCTATCTCACATAAAACAGGACTTGAAGAGGGCACTGTGCTGTTATTGCTTATTGCAACATGGTGTGGCACACAGGATGGACAGGAGCTGCAATAGACTTCAACTGACTCTGCAACCTGGAAGAGTAAAGAATTGGGACTACAGAAGACTCTGTAGGGTACCTGACAGTGGATTTAGATCCCATGGAAGTGCCCCACCCATGTCTAGGGGAAAGTCTGAGTATGGGTTCAGGAGCACAGAGTTGCCCCATGCATATTGTAACCCAAGAAAATGGACGTAGAAGTGAATTATGAGTGCCACCAGAAATCTAACACTATAACAACAGTTGGTAGGCTGCATATCTCGCATATTCATTGTCTTCTGAATCAGCTGTATCCTACATATGCCAGAGACAGATCTTAACTTTTTGTAGCAAGCAAAGATCTTTAAACTCAGAGAGAGATGGGAACTCTCTGACTTGGAGGCACTATTTTCCCAGTTGATCCCAAGGTGTTCATAAACACAGACTGTTTGCTCTGTAAGCTGTAATCAGAATGATTATGTATCTTTTCACCTCTCAACTGAGTATGAAGCATTAGAAATACGGAAGAGAAGAGAAGAGAAATGGCACTACGAAAACTTTGAGATGAATGGGGATGGATACACAAGATCCTGTGGCCAGCTTCTGACACTCTGTCGCAAAAGTGTAGAGTGAAATCTTTTTGGAAGTACCTCTGGCATCCTCACTGTGGATTTTGTGCCACCTTTGGGCTACTTAAAACTCTGATCCGTTTCAGTGCATATACTTCATCCTTTCACATACAATGCCTTGAGTCTATCTGTTGAGTTTTCTATAATCAACAAAAAGGAATTCTAGTGTGAACCAGGGGCTTGAGGCAATCCAAAGATCCAAGATTAGGGGAATAGGAAAGAAAGCAAATACATAGGAGAAAGCACATGGTAAGGTGTAAACCAAACCCCATTCTAACCTGGAATGGCTTTTACAATAGGATGCGAAAGAAAAAGATAGGGAATGTAAAATAAAACGTCTCCTTGGTATGTCAGTTAACCTAGGTTAATGCCAGAAGAAATGGAGCTTCTCTGGGCACCAGCAGTTACATGCTACTCCATTAACCCAATGTTCATCTCTTCTGTGTCATTGCATCAGTTAGGAGGAGGTAAATTTGTGTGCTGTTTGGGGAAATGCTTGTTGAGGGAAAATGTCCACGTGGGCAGAAAGGCACTTATTTGTCTCACAAATTTCATAGAATCATTTAAGTTGGAAAAGACTTTTAAGATCATCAAGCCCAACCATGTCAAAAAATGGCCAAGCTTAAAGACAACTACTTACTGGGCTCCACCTTGGGGAGGCTGTACTGCCACAGAAAGCAGCCTGTCATCGCAATAGACAACAGGAAGAAGAAGATGACCAACACGTGAATCCACTTCACATCCATAACAGTGAGCTTGAGGAGGCTCCGGCTGCTGGATGCGTGCTGTAAGCAGAAAAGATATGATCTCAGAGAGAGAAAAACAGCCTCTCATGCATATTAGCCAGGTGAAGGAGGCACACTACATTGGAGAAAAAAGCTACTGCAGGGACTTGGACTAATTCCAGTACTATTGCGGCACTAGAGCTAGGCATACCAGATCACATTGAAATAATTGGAACCAGAGATGACTTCTTGTCTTCCAATGAAGTTTACTAGACATTACTCTCCTTACTTTGTTGGCCATGTTGGTTCTCATAGAAGAAAACCATCAACTCCTTTCGCCTCTTCCCCTCCCTGCAGGTGAACCTCATCAGCCCAGGCTAGCAGGATTCTGTTACAGCTCTCATCTCCTCCCTTCTCAACCATCATGACTTATTGCTGGATATCTTTCCAGTCCCTTTTTTCCAGAGTCCAGCATCTGTTCATGGCAGCCACCAGCCAGACCGTCTGAGAAGATCCAGTTTTTATAGATGAATGGTGGAATTTTTCACCATGTAATGCCCTTACTTTTCTATTTTGTATCTGTAATTCCCATTATATCATGTACCATCTGTAAGCTTGACATTTACAGATGCCATGTTTTGGAAAACTGGCTAATATTTTGGGTTTATGCAGCTATCACAACACTGGAGACCATCCAGGTTGGTGGTACTACCATATAAATGTTGAAGAAAAACAAGGAACAGATGACAAATGATTAGGTGCCTAAGCATGAGCTGTGCTCTTGCACTGACTGTAGGAGGTCAATAGGGTGCTTTTGAAAGTTTGGCAATTAGTGTTATAAAACATATGGCCTGTCATTTGCATTCCGTATGGTCCATATTCCAAAGCTGTTTCAGGTTGTCTGGACTCACTTGCAGGATAGACAGATTAAAATATTCCCTTTAGATTACCACATGGCCCCCCCTTTTTTTTTTTTTTTTGAGATATAGGATAGTTCATGCAAAAGATTCTGCAAGTTAACTGAGCCTTGTCCTCACAGCAAGGGAATCTGCAGAGCCACTTCCAGACTTGCACATGGCTTTGTGGCTCTGTTAGGATCCAACTGGGGAACCTAGCCCCTGCTGAAACTCCAGGTTGCAATTCCACTTTCTGTACAATAATAAAAATTCATTACAATTATTTCTGAAGCCTTTTAGCCTGTTCAGGCATTTCCACATAAATTTCTGAAGGCAGCTTACTTCAGGTTCTTCCATACCATAATTAAGACTTCAAGGGTGGCTTAAGACCACACAGGTGCCTGCAGACCCACTCAAACCTGAGACTGACAGATCATGCATGTGCTCCATATTCCAGCTATTAGATGTGTTCCTAAATAGAGGAATGCCTTTTTGACACCAAAACCAGCTTGGTTTAGATATACCAACCTCACACAGTGCCTTAGCAGGCAGGAGATCATATCCACACAAAGAGAAGCTTGTGTATTGTGATCTCTTTGATCACCCCACGCTGGCAGGCTTCAGTTTATGCTGAAGGATGTTGCAAGAGCTGCAAACAGATGCTATTTTCCTGCAGCAATAAGTGGGACAGAGCCCTCTTTGCCCTGGAGTAGTCATGGGGTGACTTTCTTGGATTTAGTACCATCATGATACGGAAACTGTCTCAGCAACCTGCAGTTCCTCTGACTGTTTGCTCTTTTCCTTACTTCACTGAGAAACCCTGATTCCTGTGTCCCTAAAAGCAGGGTGAAAAGAAAAGATTTTTCTGATATATGCCTCATCTTGTGAACTCCAGGCTCTCTAGGCCACTAACCAAGGACCACTGAACTCTCATCCTTTAGTTCAAACGCTCCTTTACCTCTTGTAGGCCATAGAATCATAGAATGGTTTGGGTTGGAAGAGACCTTAAAGATCATCTAGTTCCAGCCCCCCTGCCACAGGCAGGGGTACCCTCCACTACACCAGGTTGCCCAAAGCCTCATCCAACCTGGCCTTGAACATTTCCAGGGATGGGGCAGCCACAACTTCTCTGGGCAACCTGTGCCAGTGCCTCACCACCCTCAGAGCGAAAAATTTCTTCCTTAGATCTAATCGAAACCTCCCCTCTTTCAGTTTAAAGCCATTGCCCCTTGTCCTGTCACTACACACCCTTGTAAAAAGTCCCTCTCCAGCTTTCCCGTAGGCCCCTTTAAGCACTGGAAGGCTGCTATGAGATCACCCCGGAGCCTTCTCTTCTCCAGGCTGAACAGCCCCAACTCCCTCAGCCTGTCTTCATAGCAGAGGTGCTCCAGCCCTTGGATCATCTTCGTGGCCTCCTCTGGACCTGTTCCAGCAGCTCCATGTCCTTCTTGTGTTGGGGACTCCAGAGCTGAACGCAGTATTCCAGGTGGGGTCTCAAAAGTTACTGCTGAAGCCCAGGATTGAACCAGGGACCTTTAGATCTTCAGTCTAACACTCTCCCAGCTGAGCTACTCCAGCCCTGCCCTGAGAACCTCCTTTGTTCTCCAACCCATAATCTAGTGGCAATGCAATGAGACCATGGCAATGCTATGAAACTAGAGGCATGGATCTCTCTTTTATTGATGGGGCACCAAATATGCAAAAGTATGAGGAATATTCATTCACTCTGAAGAGATGCTCTACCCTCTAAGCTACATTTCAGGAAAAACTCCACTCTCCCTTATCTGGGAGGCTGTCAGATAAATGGATAGGTACCTGCAAACAGACTCCTCACATTTCGCTCGCCAGTATTTGTCTGGTATCACCTCCCTTTCAGCTGGTTTCCCCATCTCACCTACATTGCCCAGCGACCGTCACTGCTAACAGCATATACACAGCAAGGGAGGGGGAGGGAAGCCCCCAAGTGCTTAGACAAATGCAAATGAATGCAAACACATGCAGAAACAAGTGCACACAGCCTCCCACAGGTAGGTTAGCTGTATGCTAAGTTTTTTCCTCAAGCTTTGAAAAATTAGGATGTAGGGGGGAAGAAATGGGAATTTCACATAGACCACCCAGGTAGACTGTCCTGCCCCACCATGCTCACCCAGGCAGACTGCCACAGACCCCTTGAGCCACTCAGTCAGAGGCACGTCTTAGCACCAGTTAGGCAGAGCTAGAAAGAGCCCCAGTCCCCTGCACATACCATCACCAGAAGCCGTCTCAGTCCCAGAGGCTGTTGTCAGGCATCTCAGCACGTGGGTACCATAACAAAACCACACCATCTGATTTCGGCCCCTGTAAGGTAGGAGCAGAGCACCTTGCCATGCTCCTAAATGCAGCTGCTTATCATGGACAGGTGCTGCTCAATCACTCCACCTGAAGTAGCCATTTTTAGCTCCCCAACAGTCCTGCTCCAGGTTTCCCTGTCCATTTGACCCATTCGGACTCTCCAGAAAGTGCCGCTGACCTCCCCGGGCAAGGAGATTAAGTGACAGGGATAGAATGGCATTTGCTCTCAGGAAAGTGCCTGAGTGATTGAATGTTAATTCTTCCTAATGCTTCTCTGCCATGTGTGTGAATCACAGCCGAAACCACGAGGGCTTCGCCATCTATTTATAGCAGCTTCATCTCCTCCTGACATCTGACAGGAGGCGATTAACTCCTGGGATGGACAGCCCCCGCGTGCCTCCATCCACTGTCCCTGGGCGGGCTTTGGAGGGGGCAGGCTGGGCTGTTTGCAGGAAAAGGAGGTGGGGGAGCTTAAGCCAGGAGCTCAGGCAGTCTCTGGGCTTAATCCTGAACAGCATCCTGGAGTTCCCCCACAGTGACAGACAAGTGAGTCATTCCCAGTTTACAGGCTCACTAGACATAGATGGAGCTGGTATTTTTTATCTCTTTAGCTGCTGGGGACTTGGAAGAATGGGGGAAGGTTGTGATTTGCTTGAGTTGAGCCTTACCTGCAGCCGTAACCCATCCATGGCAGCTCAGAAGTCTCTTCTCATCCCCTGTGCTGCCTATCTCCACAAACAAAAGGTTCATAAAACCCTGTGATGAAGAGAAACAAAAAGTTAGTGCAGGAAAAAAATGGAATCAGAGCAAGGGGGGAAGCCCAGATGAACAAAGCCCAGCTCCAATAAGCAGACCAGCAGGCAGGAACTGGTTTTGGATGGGGAGATAAACCATGGTAACCGCATGAGTGGTTACTCATGTAACCCAGTAACAACTTCCCTCTCTCTACCTCTGGTTTAGCAGTACCTTGTGTTTACTACAAGGGCTGGACTTAAGCTCTGGGACTTGCCAGGGCCCACGACCATCCTCATCCCACCTCCTAAGCACAAGGAACTGGAGCTTTGAGACTTTCAGGGCTAATGGCCTTTCATTGTGCTTGCTCTGCAGGGTCCTTCCACTCCTCTCCCTGACTTCTCAGCCTTGCTCCCTCTACACAGCCAACACCACCCTCCTTAGTCTTGGGAATCATAGATACAGCCAAGAAACTCTATGACAGATTTGGAAGTCCCGAGACTGCCACATCTCCCACAATATTTCCCTCTCATTTTGCTACTTGGCAGTGGCAATTCAACAGGCAAACCCCTCCATAAGAGCTCTTACCAGCTTTCCTGCTGCCCTCCGGCTTCCAGTGTTGATGAATTTGGGGCTGTCCTGGAGCTGCAGATGTTAAGAGCATCTGAAGCACTAATCCCAACAGTCAGGCTCTCTGAGCACAGATTAAATGGCCGTGCCTCACCCCTGCTCAGGCAGCGCAGCATCTGTCCAGGGATGCAGCCAACAGGGAGTATTGCTTGTGATTTCATGGCTCAAACAATACAGCAGAGTGGAAAATGGGGAGCTGGGGAGGAGGATATCTGTAACACACTCTGAGCTGGAAATGTTAATAACAAACTGCCATTACCATGTAAAGTGTATTATAAATGCTTTCCGAAGAGGAGGGCATGGTCATGCCCCAGTTATGCGCCAAATCCAGGAGGATTACGCACTTGCCGGGTCCTGCCGTCCTGTTGCCATCTTCAGATGTTCACAGGTAAGGGTGTTCTCCTTAAGACCACCTCTTCATTTCAGTATCTCCAGTAGTGACCCAGGCTCTGATAGTGCTTC